ATGGTGTCTAGTAATAACTGTGTTAAACAATTCTTAAATATTCTATAAAATCAATGCATAATTATGATTATCTGTCTCACCAAGCAACCTTGACTTTCTCATGTCTTTAAAATACTATATATAACATTTGGCTATAAAACTTAAATGAGTATTGATCCAGGTATTTTCACTAAGAATATATAGTTTAGATGTTCTGATCTGGATATACCAAGTGTATAGTGACATATAACAGTTTTGTTAGACTCATAATCTAGGAATTGTCTTCTCAGGATTTTTGATGTTACAGAATAAAGAACTTGTATGCTCTTTTGTTATCAAACTTTGCTGTTCTCTACTTGGAATTCTTTGCCAGTTAAGAAAACATAGCGCAAATGCGTGATGACTTTTTTATAGAAATAAATTTGAATTATAATTTTTTTTAATAGTAAAGCATCCCATCTTGAACTTTATTATAGTAGCAAATTACATTGGCTAAACCTTACAACTGATCTTAACTCATGGCCACATTACTGGATAAAAGGGAAGAAAGACCAGTTAGAAGGCAAGAAATGAGAGTCTGCTTTAAGGCCCTTGCAGTAGGGATGGTGAGAAGTATGAGAGGAAGTTTAAAATACACAACTAGTGGGACTTGAGGATAGTTGAATATCAGAAAACCTCTGTATTTCTTTATTGCCATTCCAACTGATGATTGTTAGCCTTCAGTACTCATATTTAAATATTATTGCATGTTATAATGTAAAACTGCTTCAGGACAACCTAAGTGGTTACGTATACACCCCGTTATACCACCTCCTCCCTGTGTACAGTTAAGATCTTCATTATGTATTTTATTTGTTGAAGTGGTTTTTAAGAATCATAGTATATATCTTGTCTGTGGTCTGGCTATAAAATATTTGTAATAGCTCTATTACATAATTTTACAGTTTACTGTCAGTAATAGACACATAACCTCAGTAGCTAATATTTATTTAGCATTTTCTATGTGGCACTTTAGAAAATATTTTACATGGATTAAATCATATATCATCTTTACATCAAGACTGTGAGGCATAGGTATTGTTTTTCCCTGGTTTTTTGTTTGTCTGTTTGTTTTCTTTGTGTACTGAGTTTATTCTCTTGGAAACAGGAATGGCTGGGTAGGTAGGAATCATGGCCTTACGTGCTAACTTTGCTTTTTGTGTGTTTGTTTTTATTAGCATTAATTATAGAATTAATTCATGTTCATTGAGTATATTTTTTAGAAGTTTTTCATATCCGTGGATTCCAAATCTGTGGATTCAACCAGCCATGGATTAAAAATATTTTTAAAATAAGTAAAAAATAACAATACAACAGTAAGAAATAATACAATAAACTACAGTACAACTACTATTTACATAGCATTAAATTATATTAGATATAAGAAATTTAAAGTATACAGGAGGATGTGGGTAGATTATATGCAGATATTATGACAGTTTATATGAGAGACTTGAGCATTCTCAGATTTTGGTATCTGCAGGAGTCAAGGAACCAATCCTCCACAGATACCAAGGTATGTCTAATTCATATTCAAGAATACATTTTTTAGGTTTTGTAAATGTAAATGTGAATGTAAAACCAAAACAAATGTGCATGTTTATTACAGATTTTGAGGCTGTTTTATGTTTAATAAATTTACAAAGTAAATATATATTATTAAGCAGCTAAAAAAGGAATTAGGCAAATTCAAATAAAAACAAGTATGATTTGCTGTAAATAAATCACTATTGTAGTGTGAACGTGGTGTGTATTACCCTGAGTTCTTTTGAGCTCTTCATTGTGTGCAGTGTACTGTGTGATGACTCTTTTCTCTTACCACTTATCGCTTAACAATTACCATAAACTGTGGCTTCTAAGATTCGCCTTGTGGCCTTATATGTTATCAGGTTTTAAAACTATTTCATGGCTGTTTAAAATAATATGTTTCTTATTTACTGAGTATAGAGTTCTCTCCTAGAGCTATTTAATTTTGTTTAAAATCTGCTATAAGCCTACTCTTTTTAATCAAGTTATGTTTATCTGTCAATATAATTATGGTTTTGACATTTTTTTTTTGGCATTTTCTTTTGGGGGATTAAACTTTTAATTTTCTGTTTAAGGCTGTGAGTGGAATTAAAAAAATATTAACTTTATTATGGTTAAATGTTTCACATAATATAAATATGTTCACCTTCAGGTAGTTCATATATTAAAAGTTGCTACTAGTTTTCACATTCTTTTTTAGTAAGATTTATCAAGGTATTACTTACATACGATAAAATCCACCTTTCATTAAGTGTACATTTCAATGAATTTGGGCAAATGTATGAAGTCCTGTAATAACTACATTAATGAAGATAACAAAGCATTTCTATCATTCCAAGAATTTCCCCATGCCTCTTGCAGTCATTTCCTTCCTCCTCCCCTACTCTTTCGTAACAACTGATTTCATCTCTATCCCTCTAGTTTTGCCTTTTCCAGAATATCATAAAATTGAAAATGCCATAGAAAGAAAACCTTTTGTGTCTGGCTTTTTTTCAGTTAGCATAATGCTTTTGAGATTCATCCAGGTTGTGGTTTTTTATTCCATTGTGTAACTGTAGAACAATTTTATCTATCCTTCACTAGTTGATGGATATTTGAGTTGTTTCCAGTTTTTAGCTATTAAAAGTAAAGCTGCTGTGAACATTCTTGGACAGGTCTTTGTGTGGACATATTTGTTTATTTTTCTTGGGTCAGTACCTGGGAATGAGATTATAGTAATGCTGTAAGAAACTGTCAACCTGTTTTCTGAAATGGCTGTACCGTTTTGCATTCCTACCAGCAATATATATGAGATTTCCAGTCACCCGCTTCAACAACACTAGATTTTGTCAGTCTGTGCAGTGGTATCTCATTATGCACTTACTTTGCATTTCCCTGATGATAAACAATTTTGAAAAACCTTTCTATGTGTTTACTTGCATCCCTGTATCGTTGGTAAAGTGTTAAATCTCTATCAAGTATTTTTTATTGAGTTTGTTATTATTGGATTGTAAGTGTTTCTGAATACAAGAACTTTATCCTGGTATATGATTTGCAAATGTTTTTAGTCTGTGGCTTGTCTTTTCATTTTCTTAACAGTTTCTTTGTTGTTTATTTAAGACATCTGCACCTGGGTTGGCTAGTTGGCTCAGGTGGTAGAATATGGTGCTGACAACACCAAGGTCAAGTGTTCGGATCCCCATACTGGCCAGCCGCCAAAAAAAAAGAAAGAAATCTGTGCCTAACCCAAAGTCAAGAAGATAGTTCTCCAGGTGTTTTCTTCTAGAAGTTTTATAGTTTCATGTTTTTATATTTAGGTCTATGATTCATTTTGGGTTACTTTTTAAATATAGTGTGAGGTAAGAGTCAAGTTTTATTACTTTAAATATAGATGTTCTCTATTTTAATAGTTTTGTATAAATCTGCTACTCTTACATTAGCATACAATTTGTTTTTATTTAGTTTTTTTGGTGGCATGTACTGTTAAATCAGTGTGAAATTTTCTTCATCTTATTTCATAATTTCTTGTTTTAAATTTAATTTGGAGTGATATTAACGTTGCCTTGCCTGCTTTCATTTTATATATTATCCATACTTGACGTCTTATACACACACACACATATTTTTTATTTCTGGAGGTAGAATCGTTTAGTATATTCCTTTGGTGGGCTGCTTTTCTTTTTCTTTCTTTTTTTTTTTTGCCCCCTCTTCTTCCCACCTTCTTTTTCTTTCTTTAGTGCCCATTTTGAAGGTCCATGTTAACCTCTGACTCAGCTTTTCTTTTTTTTGACCGGTAAGGGGATCGCAACCCTCGGCTTGGTGTCATCCGCACCACACTCAGCCAGTGAACGCACCGGCCATCCCTATATAGGATCCGAACCCGCGGTTTCGGCACCAACAGCACCGCACTCACCCGAGTGAGCCACAGGGCCGGCCCTGACTCTGCTTTTCTCTTTCACTGCAGTGAGATATCTTCTGAATGATTTTATTCTTTGGATTAGAAAGCAGTTTCTCAGGGCTTCGGTAGCTAGTAATGCGTTAAGAGAAAATTATTTCCCACTCCTGTATTTAAAAAGAATAATTACTCAGCCTTTCTCTTACTTGCCTTTAAACAATTCAAATAATGTCAGCTGTTAATAGCTTTTATTTCATTGTTGTTCTGGTGATCAGGCTTTTTATTTAATTTGGATTCTTCTGAGTCTACGTACTCTGCACAGATGTCTACATGTGGGCCTCACAAATACTGATTGTGATACTCCGATGTCATATTTTTTTGTAGGTGAAATATTTCTGAGTATTTGGATATTTAAAATAGAAATATGTATGATTGGTCATCAGTGATTTATTTCTTATGGCTCAGAAGATCATATCTTGAGATTTGAAAGGACTGTAGTTTGAAAGATAGGATATACCATAAATAATGGTCTATGTTTCAGCAGAGTCATGAGTCATACATGGGCAAAGAGCACTAAACCAACCCTTAGAACAATATTTAAAGCCACAATGTGTGACTTACAAATTTTCGTAGCAACACCTACAATTTGAGGTCTTCTAGCTAATTATTCTTGCTAGATTATTAAGTTCGGTATTTTTGTTGTTGTTGTTATTTTATTTTTTTTAAGCTACTGAAGGTGTTTGTATGCAGTTAAATAAGTGAAAGTTTAAAAAGTTACTTAGGGCCAGCCCGTGGCTCACTTGGGAGAGTGTGGTGCTGATAACACCAAGGCCATAGGTTTGGATCCCTATAATAGGGATGGCTGATTAGCTCACTTTGGAGAGCGTGGTGCTGACAATACCAAGTCAAGGGTTAAGATTCCCTTACCGGTCATCTAAGAAAAAAAAAAATTCGTCTTCTAAAACCATTAAATATTTAAAATTTTAGTATATTGGCATTGTTCCAGGTGCCCACTTGGGTTACAGCTCTGGGCATGTGTACTAAAGAATTAAGTGGATAAGTTTTTTCTCATTTTTTTTAGATGTGGTGGTACAGTGGGAGCTATTCTGACATGTCCACTGGAAGTTGTAAAAACACGGCTGCAGTCATCTTCTGTGACACTTTATATATCTGAAGTTCAGCTGAACACCATGGCTGGAGCCAGTGTCAACCGAGTAGTCTCTCCTGGACCTCTCCATTGCTTAAAGTGAGACCACAGTATTCATAAATTGTTTTGGTGTACCTTAGTGATTCCCATGTTTATTTATTTATATTCTACATTTAAAAAGGTTCTTTATAAACTTAAATGACAAGTTACTGTGAATTATTTCCATTAGAAATGATAATTCCTCATAGAAAAGAACGGTTAAAAGGGTAATATAAAATTTAATATTATTTCCAAATCATGTGTATTTAGAATAGTTTTCTACATTTAGCCAATGAATTTCTTTTCTGTAGCTATTATAGGTATTTTATTTTGGATTATTAATTCATTTATTTTTGAAATATGATCACGTTAAGGCTAACTCATTTTGTGTGTGTTTTTAACTTTCCAAGTACTCACACAAATAAAGTATATCCAATTAATGGCAATCTGATTTCTATGTAATCTAAATATAACTGAGACTTTAAGCAGAGTTCTTCTGATTTTAAAATGTTATTCGGTGTAGTATGTGTTTGACATTTCCTGATGGTTTGAAAAAGATTTGCATTTACATTTTACCATACTTTGTTATGTTGCAATTGGATTTTAAATTTCAAAATGATTAAAATCAGGTTTTACATGTTTAAACTTGTGTATATAACTGAGTGCCATGTGTGTCTGCCTTGTCAGCTCACTTAGTACTTAATCTATTTGAACCTGGTTCACTAGTGTTTATTTTGTAGTAGCAAATAAACTCATCCTGTGTGTTTACCTTTGCTACCAAAAGATTTCATCAGTGTTTTCTTTTTTAAAATTTGGTTACCTAAGTACATGAATAGGTAGCATAAAATTATTAACAATTTTGGATTAAAATGCCATAATTATGTATAAATACTTTGATTAATAATAGGAAAATTAATATGATTTTTGAGATATATTACCTCTGATTACCTCTCCTTAAAATTCTTCTTCTCACCTCTGTGATGTATTTTTTATTATATTTTTCAGTGATTTGACCTTATCTTTCTCACAGGAACTTTAGTAATCCCTCTGGGCTCTGTTTTAGTTCCTCACTTTTTCAGGCCCTCTTTTAAGCTCTATATGTATTAATTTATTTAATCCTCACAGTAACCCAGTAATGAGGTATTATTTTTCTTTATTTATTGCTAATGAAACTAAGGATGAAAGAGAAGTTTCTCTGTAGTCTTACAGTTAACCACTTTACAATATTGGGCTTCATACCTAAGAAGTCTGGCCGCTCGGCTCAGGCCTTTAATTAACCATGATGCTCAACTATCTTTCAAGAGATATTCCTAAGTATATAGATATTCAAGAACCACTCTGCATAGTCTGTTAACTCTGAATTAAAATGCCTACTTTTCTTCGATCTTCTGTTCTTTCTCACTTCTAAACTTCATTTCAAAATTTACTCTCAGACTGGCCAGTTAGCTCAGTTGGTTAGACGTTATAACACCAAGGTCCTGGGTTCGGGTCCCCTTACCAGCCAGCCAAAAAAAAAAAATTATTCTCAGAAAGCCTTCTGTGACTTAGACACACCTCTCTGTTCCTTTCTCTGCTGGACATATATGTATCTAGCTTGTACTATATTTGCTTGTTAATATGGTCTGTTAAATTATTTGTTTCAGTATAGTTCTTTTTGCCACAACTGGACAGCAAATTTCTCAGTGTTAGTGGCTTCACTCCCTCATTTCTTTCTCCTAACTCTGCCTAGTCATAAAGAGCTCTTTATGCAGTAAGTATTCAATATATAGTAATTGTTAACTGAGTGGAGTGAGAAATAACAGGTCAACCACTGTAGTACCCTAGAGGATATTAGGGTCCCTGGAGTAGTTGCATGAGATAATATTGTATTACTGAGAGTGTTGTCCAGTATCAAGTAAAAGACCGCAAAACTGGGAAGGAACTACATTTCTAATCAGGAATTCAATTTGCTGGTAAAGATAGTAAAAACAAAGAGATTAAAGATAAGAGTAGCATGATAATCTAAAAATAAATGTAGAAATCTATATCATGTTTTCAAAATATTTTAGGAAAGAATCTGAGTGGAGTTCTTTTCATTATCACTAGTAAATCTATTATCAGTCTTCAATAATTTATACTATTGTTTAAAAAACCAGATTTTTATAAGTAAGGAAAACTGACCAGAGAAGCATTATATATTATAATACAGATATAGGGATTTAGACTCTCACTTTGCTATACAAAGGAAATAAAATAGCAGACTTTGAAGGACATTTCTTTCTAATATAATTTTTTTTCTCTTACAGAATGATCTTGGAAAAAGAAGGGCCTCGTTCCTTGTTTAGAGGATTAGGCCCCAATTTAGTGGGGGTGGCTCCTTCCAGGTAAACAATCATTTTAAAGTTAAGCAAAATTATGGCAGTCTTTCTTTTACAAAGCACTTGTATTTAATCATTTGTAGATGAAGTTAAATTTATAAATGCAGTTTTCATTGTTTATGGGAAGTTAAAATACTTGATTTTCTTTTTAAGGATTTCAGATGCTAATCAGAACAAATTTATGTGATCAAGTAATGCTTGTTGGCAGGATATGGTACTGGGTTTTTTTGGGAGGGGGGTTTCTGTTCCTTTTTTCTGGTACTGGGTATTTCGAAGACCAAGAGTATTTCAGAAGTGTTAGAAATTAACAGTAGTAATATGCATACATAGGATATGTTCCATAATGTAAGGGAAGAAGGTACAGTATTTGCATTAAATTTTTGACAGTCTTGTACTGGGGGGGAATGAAGAACCATAGCATAGTATAGCTAAAGGTTTAATGAGCACTGTATTTATAGATAAGAGTTAAAATTTTTAATTTTATGGATGGACCTGAGATTTTTATGTCGGTGTTATATTCAAAGTTGTAAATAGTGAAGATAACACTTATCTTTATATTATATTGCATAGAATAGGAGGTATAAAATTAGTAATATTTGCAGGATAAGTCTGTCTGGAAATTTCCTTACAGCTAGTGGCTATGTTTTGAGTCCTCCTAGGGGGATGCTTATACTCTCTACTGACCTGAGGAGTTAGAATGTTTGTTGGGGGGAGGTGGAAATTGAAAATCTACACAGGGCTAAGCCCATAAACTACTCCTGATATTTTGAGGTAGGTGTTCGTTAGTTCTTGTAAATTTTTTTTTTTTTTTTTTTTTTTTAAAGATGACCGGTAACGGGATCTTAACCCGTGGCCTTGATGTTATCAGCACCACACTCTCCCAAGTGAGCCACGGGCTGGCCCTAGTTTTTGTAAATTTAAATAAACCAACTCTTGCATCTTGAAAAATTTTGTCTCTAAGGAAAATAAGCATTCTTTTAAATGTTTCTCTTGGACTTAGAGGTGTAATAATATTTAGGATATATGTAAATTTTTCTGCTTCTGATAGCTATCCTTTCTGTGCTCCAGTTGAAGTTAGTGTTTCTTTTTGACTCTACATAGAAATTAACTTCAAATAAACAAGATGGAAAAGTAGAAACAAAGAGCTAGGAAGGGAGTCAGGGCTTAGAACAGGGTTGAAGAAAGGGACAAGAAGTCTAAAAGCATGAGAATTTTTGTGGCATTGAAGGGCAGTAAGAGACAGGCTCAGTACCTACCATAGTAAAGGAAGCCTAATGAAGGGAGATGCTGAAGAGAAGCCCTGGTGGTAAGGGTGAAGCACTGTGGTTTGAGATCAGTAGCCATCTACAAGGATGGGTGCTGTGCACCATGTGGAGAGGTGTAAAGGACCTCTTAGTGAGATCATTGTGAAGCAGTTTTTGCACCAACTTCAAAAGGCAAAAACAAAGAAAGAAATTAATAACTAAAGGAACAGCTAATGGAACTAGCAGTAGGAAAGGGGAAGACCTGGAATACTAAAACTAAGCCATTTTTTGGCTTAGGAGACAAGCCAAACAGAATGGTTCCATTAAAGAAGCCAAAAAGTCCTGAAAACATTACTTTGTCATTTTTCTTTGATACCATTTTATCTTAAATTGTTGGCTTCTCCCATGGTAGAGCACTGTACAAAGTTCATATTTAGGATGAAAATGCATACGCAGCTCTCTCTGTCCAAACTGTGTACCAGATTTATGTATTATTCTTTATTGTGTTTCAACTTTTTTGTGGGTTCTCTTCTTTCTTTAAGAAATTATCCAAAATTGGGCCGGCCCGGTGGCGCACTGGATAGTGCGCCGCTTGGGAAGCGCAGCGGCGCTCCCGTCCGAGGGTTCGGATCCCACATGCGGACCGGTTCCCGCTCACTGGCTGAGCGGGGCGCGGGAGCAACACCGAGGGTTGCGATCCCGTTGCCGGTCCCCGGTCCGGTACGGGGGCGACACTGAGGGTTGCGATCCGTTGCCGGACACGGAAAAAAGACAAAAAGACAAAAAAAAAAAAGAAAAGAAAAGAAAAAAAAAAAAAGAAATTATCCAAAATTGCAACCTCACTGTAAAACCTTAAAATATATAGAGAGAGAGAGAAAGTGTGGCATTTCATCTTAAGCACATCACTTCTCACCCTGTGCACCTTCCCACATAATACACTCTTCTCCTTATAGATAACCACCATTAATAAACAGTTTGGTATATAATCTTCCACTAACTTTTTCTGGATTATCATATACTGCATAAAAACATGTATACTTACATTATTATAGTCTACTTTACATAAATTGAATCATACTAAATATTTAATGTAATTTATCTTGATGCTCTTTTCATGATAATATGTGGGGTGTTTTTTGATTGTGTTTTATGACTTAATCATTAATAAGCATTTCTTTATTGATATATAATTAGATTATTTTCAGATTTTTGTTAAAAATAATGGTTTTGTGAAGATACCTGAACCTTTATCTTTGAGTAGTTAAAGAAGTATGCTTTTTTACGATGGTTACTTAAAAGTAAGATTTCTGGATAAAATGGCATATGTCCATTTAAAACTAGTAAATATTACTGAATTGCCTTCTAAAAAGGCATACCATTTTTTTATTCTCAAATAGTGAATTAGTTGCTCTTTATCCACATCCTTACAAAATGCTGGCTGTTACCCATCTTTTTAATACTTGCCAAATGGAATGAAATGATTTTTTACTGTTTTAATATGCACTTGTATAATTTTTGAGCAGTTACACCCCCTTTTTTGGTAATTTGTCAATTTGTGTGTGTCTTCTGTGAGTTGCCTGTATATATTCCATGCCTATTTTCTCATTAGGATGTCTTTTTTCTGATTGATTTCTAGGAATGCATTGTTTATTCCACCTTCACAATTTGGCATCAAGTGTATCCTGTGTTTTCTCATAAAGTAGAATTTTTTTTTCTTTTTTGGGGGGAGGGGAGGAGGGCAGCTAGCCAGTATGAGGATCTGAACCCTTGACCTTGGTGTTATAATACCATGCTGTAACCAACTGAGCTAACCAGCCAGTCTAGAATGTTTTGTTTTAACTTAATTTTGTGTTTTTTTTAAAAAAGGCACAATGGTGATACTCTCCCTGTTTGTACTTGTCTACTCTGTCCGTTATTGGACAGGTAGTCAGGATTGTTGGGAAGTAATGGGATATTTCATACAGCAAGCAAATAATTCAGTGCCTGGAAAGTTAAACATTGAGGAGGTAGTGGGGATGCATAAAGTCATAGTCAGCATTTACAAATTTAATGGACTGTTTACACACATTGGAAAACGATATATCCTGAACTAAAATGGGCCTGATTTCTTTTGTTGGAAATGTTTTGTCTGTTTAAGGATACTGTGAATTACTATGTGTAATATAGATTAGAATATATTCCAGTATTTCAAAATTGTTTACCATATACTTTGTTTTTTTGTTTTGTTTTTTGTTTTCTTGTTTTTAGTGGCTGGCCAGCACAGGGAATCAAACCCTTGACCTTGATGTTATCAGTACCACACTGTGAACAATTGGCTAACTGGACAACCCTGTTAGATTAGCTCTACCCACCACTCCCCACCAAAAAAATTATACATTTGTTAAAGTACTCATACCAAATTTACTTAACTCAGCTAAGTGTATTTACTCTAGCCTTAGCATTGCACAAGACTTACAGCCTTACTCATTCAAGGGGTTTCCAGTCATCAAAATCTTATACGAATACTTTCTGTTTCAGTCAGTCAGTTGCTAAGTGCATGTCAGAGTATTGAGCGGGGGATCTGTTTGTTTGAGGATGGACATTAGGAACTTTACATTTGTTTGTCCTTTTTTTTAATGAGTCAGTACAAAAAGTACTTCAGGGTATTTATAAAAAAAAATGTGTAAATTCATCTAATATTACATGAGAATGTGGCTAAGACTTTGTTAATGTTTTTAGATTTCTCCATTCTAAAATTATGAGGATTAATTTACATTTAATCCCAAGAATTTAGTAACATGCTTATTGATACATTTTAATCTTTATTTTAGAGCAATATACTTTGCTGCTTACTCAAACTGCAAGGAAAAGTTGAACGATGTATTTGATCCTGATTCTACCCAGGTACACATGATTTCAGCTGCAATGGCAGGTATGAATGTATAATAGTAAAAAACAAAACTTTCTGAAACCTAGAGACTTAATATTGAAAAGTTAAGATGATTAATGTGCTCTTTATTGTTTAGCATCTGCAGAAATGATTTTTACATTTATTAGTATAAAACATATTTGGTTAGGCATATGTAAGGTCTGTTGTCAGTTGGCATTTTTGTAATTAGGAATTTAACTGACAGGATGCAGGTAGTATGTTGCCTTGTGTAGTCTGCTGAATATTTATAAGGTGATCACTTTTAATAGTTTTAAGAATCCAATCATAATTACAGTATAAAAAAGTTATGGAGCTGTAATTTACTCTTTTCTCCTCAATTTCTGTTAGTGCCTTTTCCTTTTTTGCTGCATGTTTTGGCTTCTGTCTGAAATGTGCCGGCAGTTCTTGGTAAAGTATTCATTTTGTCCTGTGCTCAAATGCTGAAATTTTTGTGAGTGATGAATTATTGATAACTCAGAGTTACTATAATGTGTGCATTTTTAAAAATGTTTATCGTTCCATGTAAACCACACTAGGTAACACCTGAAATTTAGACACTGGCTATGTGTACATGCTTGCTGTAGAAATGTTTCCAGGAACTCTTCTGTCATCATTGATGAGTATTTGTGATTCTAAATTAAAACAACTAGTTTCAGGTCTTTACTTTGCTTTAAAGATAAACTGCGGGAGACTGGTTTTGACCAAACTGGTTCTGGAATCATTTTCTGCTGTGCATGTTAGACAAAGCCATGAACTTTGGTTCTTAGAGAAGATTCTCTCCAGTTTTCTGAGATTTGTTGCATATTTAACCACATCTCACATTTCCAAATTATGTTAAGACTTTAAAAGCAAACTATTTCTGCTTTCATCTGTTATCGATCAATAAATTGAGTGTCAATTATGTGCTTAATAATGAGTGCCTTAAACTGTTAACCATTTTCTGTTTAGAAATAAATTGGATCAATTTGACCCATATACTTAACATACTCAGTGTAAGTTTGAAATACTAATTTCTGAAAGGTTGAAGCCCTTTACTTCCTATGTAATAAATCTAACATATACCTTACAAATTGTTTTTAAGACTTTTTATATTTAGTAATTGTTTACTGACTCGTCGAAGTTCTAAAGCAGGAAAGGACGACCTTAAAGATCAAGATAGTGAGATATTCTCATTTACCAGTAAGGAGATCTTGGGCAAGTTATATAATTTATGTGAACCTTCATTACCTTATCCATAGAATGAATAGGTTGGTCTGCATAGATTTGGATTTTGAGAATTAGTTCTTTCATTTGGTGCCACAGAAATTATCTAGTTACAACTAGAATTATTTTTTAATGTACTTTTTTCAGATGTTGAATATAAATGGATATGATTTTCCCCCTATGAATTTGAGTGGGTATAAGGTAAAAGTTGGTGGCCAATGACAAGCCACTGAGTTAAGTTCTTTAAGAATATATTTCTGGATTACCAGTGTTTATGTTTTTGGTTTTTAACACCAGAAAATTATAAAGAAATGCTAATCTCTTTTGAAAGAATTGAAATCAAGAAACTCGATGAGCAGTTATTCTAAGTTGAAGATGTTTGTTGTATATTCAGTATTGCAGATTTAGAGGTTCAGAATATCTTAATTTCCACTTGAACATCTTATTTTATTAGAATATCTTATCAAAATTTATTACTGTATTGTGTCACGTTCCAAAGAATTTCAGTAGAATTGTCAGTTTGCACTTTTTTCTCAAATATATACAAATGTTAACTCATTGTTTTTATCTATGCATTGATACAGTTTCCCAACCTGAATTCCTTGAGTTTTGCTAAATTGATAGTCTTGTACTTTCTTGGAGATCATGGCACTGCACTCTTACTGTGTAATTTGGAAATACTTCTCCCATTTGTTCACAGTGACATTGTTCTGAGCGTTGTGCTTTGAGGCTTCCTTGCACTGTTCATGAGCATAACATTTAGCCTCGCAGTTTTTGTGCGTAACTGCACAGTTGCTGAAACTGAATGGTCCAATGCAGACTCATTTAAGGTAGCCTTTTGCCCCCTTTGTTTTTGAAATAATTTAGACCAGATTGCTCTGGTTTTTCTTCAAGATCATTTTTAGAAGTCTAAATGTGAATAATTTGGGGGTGTGAAGTATGTAGAGATAGTCATGAGAAAAATTCAAGGAAAAAAATGCTAACCTTGTCACTTTGGTATCCAAAAATGTACTAAAATAGACCATTATGATATTGCCGGTGAGATTTTGCCACACTAAACAGCACACACAGTAAGGACTCAGTAAGGCGCCATGTCCGTAATTTTCATTCTTAATAACCTCTCAATTCAGCTTCATTTTGCATTTTATCCATATTAGCTCAAGTGCTTAATTTAGATACTAAAACTTGTTGAAAGGACAGTTTATTTAAAGTGGGTCTTTTCATTTGTTGAAGTTTTACAAATGAATACTATACAAATTTGAAGCCTCGAAAATTGAGCTATAAATTTTCATGCATTAAAAAAATTTTTCAATTGTGAGGATCACAATTAAGTAGTTGGATTACTTAATCAAATTAAGTAATGTTGACTCTTACTATGTTTTACCTGCCTCCCTCCACACACACATATGATCTTTGTCAGACTAAGTGTATCTTAGTTATTGAGGGTATCTGTTTTGTGTGTCTGTGTTTTCCTTAAATGAACTTCAGTATCCCTCTGTATATGCCTAGGTACAGATGTGTATACAAAAAATAGCATTACGTTTCTTCTTTCTTTATAGTAATTCCCACTTTATAAAAGTTTTTATCCGGCATGTATATACTTTTATATGCATTGTAAATATAATGGAAATGAATTCAGATTTTTATTGGATTATATATTCATAGTTACTGCTCAATTTTTTAAATACTAATAATGTATATACCTTGTGGGTTTTATTTGCTTTCAGCATACACTTATTTTTCAAGGTATATTTTTCCATTTGACTGAAAATTCATTATTAAATGTTAAGTTTTTACTCATTAAATCCAAATTTTGTCTTGCATATGTAAAGTATTTTAAAACAATACTTTGTCCATGGTGGTTCATTCAGCCAGATGGAGATTGGACAGATATTTTGTGTGTTTGTGTGTAAACATTCTGTTTTTTGTTTTGTAGAACACAAGAAATTAAATACAAAACAATCCAAAATATTCCATAAGTATGGATGTGCATTATTACTGGCCATAGTACAAAAGGTGAAAGGTACTATTGTAGCAACATATACTTTATTTTATAAAAAATATATATATATAAATAGTTCCAAAGTAAAGTTACCTGAATATTCTGTTTTTATTTTATTTTTTTAAAGATTTACTAAGTAGTCAGGTTATTAAAGAATAGAAAAGTGTATTTTCAACTCTTTGATTGTGATAGATAATTATGGTAGGAAAATGAGATATGGATATCCCCTTTAAATATTTTCTTAGAGTCCCCTTTGACAAGGTTAGCATTTTTTCTTTAAGGCAAAATTGGTCTTCTTTTAGGTAAGTATTTGGACTTTGAAACTGCGGCAGATGGCAGGATTTTCAGTACTCGGTGCATTTAAAAAAAAAATTTATGGCCCATTCTGATATTCCTTTCTTTCTTTTTTTTTTTAACTTAAAATTTTCAAAAAGTTTAGATCTCACAGTAAATATTTCTCAGTCCTTCCAATGGGATTCAGTTTGTTCACATGTTTCTGATGAGGTCACTGCTTGTTGTTATGATACAGAAAAGCCTGTGTCTATTTTAGGCATTTACTGTACATTTCTCCCGAGAAAAGAGTGAGATCGTGTCATCTCATGCTCCCCATCCGCAGGTCACTTCCTGTAGAAATATGGACTAACTTAAACCTCGTGAGTACTGATCTGAGCATCTCTTGCAGCCTCTAGTATAAGAAACACACACTGGGATTTTATAATAGCTGTGGAATTAATAGAAGGCGGGAAATGAACTTTTATTTCCTGAATTTGTGTGTGCATTATTGAGTATTTTATAAAAATTTAGTTCTGATCCCTTTATAATGCTCCTTCTAGAAGGAAAAATGGGGTACTTTTCATTCACCATGTAATAAAAGCCTGGGGTCTTCAGCCATAACAGCCTTGACCTCCAAAAAATTTGATAATAATAATATGTAAACATAGTTGTAAATGGTATTATACCTTTCCACGACTTTTAGATAAAATAGTAGTTCTCTTTGCTTAGCCTAACATTTAAAAACCTAATACAGTGCTTTATAATCTCTTGTCTTTTGCTACTTGGCTTTCTAATCTTTTGCAGAAATATTGATCTTAATACTATAAATGCAGGATAAGAATATATGGGATCTTAGCTGTTTTAGTTTTAATTACTTTTTTAAATAGTTATAATACATTTATCTTGGGAGGTTAGGTGGGCTTGTTCTTACAGAAGTTAATTGAAATAAGAAATACTGAAAATGCAGTACTACAGGTATCACTCACTTAATGAAATAAACATTTTCAGCAACTTTATTATAAGCAGAATTTTTCTCTTAATATGATTTTTACTTGGTGTACACTATCAATGGAGTCTGAGATGAAGCAAAACTTTAAAATTGCATTTTAAAGTTTTTTCAAAGCTTTCTGGTAGAACACTAACCACACTACTAACAGTATGGCCAGTATATTGGCACTTTGCTTTAACTGACTGTGGAGCAATATTAATTCTCCTTAACCTAAAAATAGATCCCTCATATACTCTTAAGTGTGTTTTAATGTTTCACTGGGTGATCAGAGTATTAAAATAAATTAGCATATTGGCAAAATATAAAACTTAAATGCAAAATAAAAGTAATAGGCAATTTCTAAATTTCAGGGCACCATTTTCAATATCTTTGTGTGTATTTGTGTTAGAAGTAGTAGGAAGATATGTTTAGCTTTGGCTAATTTCATATTGCCTAACCATATATAATTCTAGATTAATTTTGTTTCTTGCCATTAGTTTAATTTCTTGAATTAATAGATTATATTTTTCTGGATTTAATTTGTCTAATTTTACTTAATTTATTCAAGTCTGGTTAAGAGAAAGTATTAGTAAAACTCAAAGACCAGATTTTTAACTATTGAAGGATCAATAGCTAAAACCTGTGCATTATGCTAAGATTCTTTATCTAACCTAATGATTTGCTTGCTGGCAGTTAGACTTCTTAATAGTCTAACTAGTTCTTAATACTAGCTCTCATTATTGGGAAATTTGAGTCAATAATTATAATAAGCACAGCTTAGTGATAATCCCAATTATATAGGGATAAGATAACATTCTACCTAAATTTTAATGTATCCTGTTACATAGGTTAATTTGTGCCTGGAAATGAATTTTAGTTAAGTGAGAAATACCTGTTTGCATTCTGACATTGTGTGTTAATATTTATGGGAATAATTTAAAATTATAATTTATAAGTCTTTAAAATTTTTTATTCCTAGTAATGTTTAGGGATATTTGTTGTAGTATTTTAAAGTTTTATATATATGGAGTTTTTTCCAGCCTCAAATTGAGGAATTTTGTTACTAGGAAGTATATTATGGGCAGAAGCTTGGACACTAAGTTCATACAAGCATACTTCAAAAAGTTCATGGGAAAATTTAAAAGAGAGTATGAATCTTTCCATGAACTTTTTGAAGTACTCTCTTATTTTATAGAAATAGAACATTTATTTTAAAAAAAAAACTTTGGTACTGTCTTCTTTTCAAATTGAGTATAATGATTGGATGAGAATTTTTACCTAGGTAGACTTTTTTTTTTTAAGTTTGATATAAGTATTCTCAGTTTTAGGCTTTCAAATTTTAATAAAAGCAAATAGCTTTTCTTAATTTAAAATTTCTATGGAACAATTAATAAAAATTACTGTGAGTAATGTAGAATAATTTGATGGTTTACGCTGCTTAGCAGCTTTTTACTAATAAACTCTTAATCTTGCTGTACAGACATTTAAGTTTAAAAAATAAGAATCTTTAAATTGGGGGTTGGCGTGAATATTGATGTCTGATTGCTTTAAAATATAATTGGGATAATTTTAGTTTAATCTTTTCACTTAGAACAATAAGGTTCAAAAGAAGAAAACAATAATAGTCTATAATTGTGTCCTCAATTAAGCCAGGCCATGCAAGAAAAATATTTCAACTGGTCTGATAGTTTTATTTTTTTCTTTTCTTTACCTAGAATATGTGCATGAAAAGAACCTCTTATTTAAAAAGATGTTCCTGGCAACCTGTTCAACACCTTAAATTTTTAATATTTTAGTACCAGGTGATGCTTCCAAATTGTTGGTCCCATTCTAGATTTATACTTATGTATGTAGTATTAAAAGCACTTAAGAGAAATAGAGACTGTATAATCTTCACAACAATATTAAAAGAGGTTATTAAACCAAATTTTTATTCCATTTATCTTGCTTGCCAAATAGATTTAATTGGAGCATCCCCGTGTGTAACATCTGGCTGTTTTCCTAGCGTTAAATCAGGTTAAGGGAGTAAAATTTGAGTTAGCTATCATATGACACATAGAAGGGGAAAGAACCTTTTGAGACCAAATTCAGCTTTGTAAACAGTTTAGTAAAATTATTTTGCATATATAGACATACCCATACTAACTTTGAAAGCCAAGAAAGTTTTATGATTGGTTCTGCATTATGTATTAGCTTAAAAAATCAAATTATTACGTAGTACATCACAGCAGTTTTTTTTCCAAAAATACTTACGTTAACTGTGCTGATTATAGTCTACGTTTCTAAAAGTAATGTGCTGATAATGTTCTGATAGTATTTGGTAGAAAATATTAAAACAGTTAAGATCCTTAGACATTTCTGCATGTAAGTTTTCATTGAATTCTAAGACCAATTGAGTAAATGTAGCTTGATGTAAGTAGTTCTGTGAAGTTTGTGTAACTTACCTTAAATGTAAAAGCAATATATTAAAACCCCATTTCGTGTAGGTGAAGCAATCTTAATAAATGTTCATCCTCAATATGGCGTTTCTTGTGCTGCTATTTTTTCATAACTAGGAAGATGGCAAGTAAAACATAAGTGCTAGCTTGGAAACGTGCTGTTCCAGAGATCTTAATGTACTACCTGGAATGATCATCTTAGGTGACCACCCTTCTACACTAATAGTTTATAGTACTCTAGTTTTAAAGTAAATTAGAGCTGCCTTCTACCCTGAGTTTCTTCAGTGTCTATAAAAGTGAGGAAGAAGTTTTTGAAGTTTTGAGTGTTTTTTTTTTTTTTTAAAGATGACCGGTAAGGGGATCTTAACACTTGACTTGGTGTTGTCAGCACCACGCTCTCCCAAGTGAGCTGACCACTATCCCAAGCGAGCTGACCAGCCATCCCCATATAGAGATCCGAACCCGTGGCCTTGGTGTTATCAGCACCACACTCTCCAAGTGAGCCACGGGCTGGCCCTAGAGGTTTTGTATATGTTTAAATGGGTGAAAAATAGATCTCTCCTATTAACCCTAACAGAAACCTTACCTCTGTGATACCATTATTTTAACAGTATGTTTATAGAATGTTTTCATGGGGCCAAACAACAGTCTTTTCTGTTATATGATTAACCAAAGATCAAAATACTAGTAAATGCTGACATTTATGTAGAATCCATTTTGAATGTAGTCATTTATGGTGCTAATCAGACCCCAAGTAGCTCTTGTAGAGTGCATGCTTTTTAGTCCTAGAATACACAAAATTTCTGTATGTTTGTCTGCAGGAATGGGTTTCTGAATTCAGCTTAGAGAGTATAGAGTGCTCTAGAGGTTATTCTGAATAGGTTGAGAGAACAATTTATATACATATATGTATATTTTTTCAGATTTTGCTCTTAAAATAATCTTTTTAAAGGTCAGAATTTGAGAATTTATGTAGATTGGAAGTAAAGACAAAAATGTTCATGGTTGTATGGATTTGTAAAATAAAAGTGTAAAACATACATCAATTAATAGTTTAAATATTTATATACATTTTCTTTAATATAGATTAATATAATTTTAAAAATCTTAAAGTTAATAGTATGTTCTTCATTTTTACCAGAGTTCATTTTAAACATGTTTGTTTAGGTTTTACTGCAATCACAGCAACCAACCCCATTTGGCTTATAAAGACTCGGTTACAGCTTGACGCAAGGTATGTTATTTTTTTACATAAAATTAGTTAAAGTGCTTTAACTGATTTTTATCTATAAATTAATGCCAGTAAGATTTCAATGCCAGGTATTTAACCGTGTTTTTTATTTTTTACCTTTTGCTGCTGAATTTGGATTTTTTTGTTCTGTTATGTTTTGTTTTGAAACTTGGGTCTGCCTTCAGAAGCAAAAGTGATGTCATAGTTGAGAATATGAGATTTTCCAGGTGAAAAAAGATTATTATGTGCTTGTGTTTTTTTTTTTTTTTTTAAAGAAAAAGGGTATATAATCCCAGTCCAAGAAGTGATACTTTTCCTACATGAGTGCTTATAAATCAGTCTCCCAACAGCTAAACAAGCCACATGGTCATCTAATCTAGACTGAATCTTGGAAGATCGTTGCTCAAATTCAGTGACCTTACGTATAGAGATCCCTGGGCTGGGATATAACTCTCATATATACTTAGTCTTCGTCATTACTGTTGACCACTTTACAATAGCAAGATTCATTCACTCAACAGATATAAATTGAGCAGATACTGCTACATTCTAAAGGTACACCAGGAAACAGTGGGAACCATCTTCAAATGGAATAATTAAGGAATGGTATTTTGAGCCCATTTTAAGCAGAAGAAACAGTGTAAACCTCAGAGGTCCCAAAGTGTCAGGCCTTCGCGTGTTCTGAACGGAGAGGCCAGAAGCAGTGCAGCTTAGGGTCTTGCCATCTCAACTCCTGTTGGCCTGAGAACAGGGAATGGAGAAAGGTCATCTCTCAGTATTTCTGGGGGATTGGTTCCAGGACCTCCGCTGATACCAAAATTCGCTGATACCAAAATTCACTAATACTCAAGTTCTGCCGTTGGCCCTGTAGAACCGAGGGACATGAAAAGTCTGCCGTGTGTGTATATGTAGACACACGTCCCACAGCTCCCCAATACTGTATTCTCCATCTGCAGTTGGTTGAAAAAAATCCATGTGTAAGTGGACCCACGCAGTTCAAACCCACATTGTTCAAGGATCAGTTGTACTTTTAAGTAGAGAGGTGATCCTATCTGATGTAATAATGGTTTTGGTTAATAATGATGGTTTTGAACTTAAAACTTGCAGTCTGGTGTAGGTTGTAATATTTCCAGTTATATTCAGGGTTTGGGAAGTGTAATATACCTGTAGGCTATAAATAAAACCAGTTGAACAAAGAGTTAACAATTAATTATGCCTCGTTAAATATCTGTTCTCCACATTATGTTGAACTGTATGCTGCCTGGAGACTTGAAATGTCCAATTGCTTCCTGGAATAGTCCTTATAAGGAAATCTTAAGTGTTGTAGCAGAACTGAAGTTTTATTACTTATAACCGAAGATCCGAAAAGTAAAGGTAGATAAGACTTAACCCAAGGGTTGAAAAGTGTAAGGTGCTAGTCCACATTATACTATTGTAAACTACCAGAGTTATGTTTTAGTATGTTATAGAGTTGCTCTGTAGGGTATCCAAGAAGAGCATGGCTTAAAACTCTTCAATATTTTTTTTCCACTCATAATTGTAACACAAGCTAGCACAATTCTTAGGCTTGCCAGGAAGGGCGTGGGGGACAGAATGGGATAGGGATGGGGTAATAGGTTGACTTGACAATTCTAATTTATAACACCGAGATCAAGAATAGGCTGATATATTTGCATGTTACCCTTGCAGGCTTGTATCTCTTTGAACTTTTTGTGAGGAAGTATGTCTAGTGGCAGAAACTAGTTACAGTTGGTTGTGGGGATCATTCAGCTAAATAGATTTCCAATATCTAAAGACAATCATTAGTTTATAAAACTAGATGAATCTGAATCTGTAGGTTATCAGGTGGGTGCTTTATCTGTGGTTTTATTTCATGTCAGAAACAGTTTAGATACAATTTATAAATAGGTAAATTTTATATTTTTTTCTCTGTAGGTAGTATTTAACCATTTCTTAAAAATTAGGTTTTATTGAGGGAGTCATAGTGTTAGGTAATAAATGTTTTGACAAGCTCAGAATTACATAGGTCAGTGTGAGTAAATTTTGTATGGTGTAAGAGTAGGTGCTGCACCCTTGAGTAGCACTAAGGAAATTGTCTTGGGCACAGTTCTGAATAAATACTTAATAACTATAGAAGTTGTCATTCACTGTTCCCTGGGGCTGCTGATAGGGCCATTGCCTTTAAATGATTACAAGGAATTTGACTTGTATTTACCTAGTCACTTCAGGACCTGAGTGAGGCTGGAAGAAACCCTCAGGTGCACAGAAATTCAGTTAATCGTATTACTTGCTTTACAATGTACCACCATCTCTAGTGTCTTAGTCACTGTTATTATGCTACTAAATGTAAAGGAAATTCACCAGCTTTGAACTGGAACTAATGCAATGTAAGGGTTTTTGTTTTCTTTGTTTTGTTTTTATCTTGAGCTGCAGTCAGAGTGGCTAGTTCTTCAAAGTATTTTGTGGCTTATTCCTACTACATGAACCCCAGTGAGGAAGATGTGAAACTGAACGTTCAGTGTAGTGTATTTTGCATTCAGTAAAACAAACTTTATGTGTTATCCATCTAATATTACATATTTGGACAAAAGAATAGGAAATCTAAAATATTAATGTTTTAAAATTCCGATTTCACTCCACAGATTAACAAAGACCATTCGTTATTAGAGTGGCATGTTTTTACCATATTTTATTTACTTTATTTAAAAACCTAGTTTATTTATGTCAATAAGATTTTTCCTTTTTGCTTTTCAGGAACCGTGGGGAAAAGCGAATGGGCGCTTTTGAATGTGTCCGTAAAGTGTATCAGACAGATGGACCTAGAGGATTTTATAGGGGCATGTCTGCTTCATATGCTGGCATATCTGAGACTGTTATCCATTTTGTTATTTATGAAAGTATAAAGCAAAAACTACTGGGATATAAGGCTGCTTCTACAATGGAAAATGATGAAGAGTCTGTGAAAGAAGCATCAGATTTTGTGGGAATGATGCTAGCTGCTGCCACCTCAAAAACTTGTGCCACAACTATAGCATATCCACATGGTAAGAAGATTTGAGTTTATATGAATAATATTCTTTTAAATCAGAAATTTTTTCCACCCAGCATTTGTAATTGGACTGAATTCTAGTTAACAAATACAGTTCTTGGGAGTTTATGATAGGATTAAAACTGTTTAAGAAATGTAAGGCTGTATTAAGTAGCATGGTGGTGATCGAACCTGAGCTCTGGAGTCACATACTCAAATTCCATGGCTGGAATCTAATTCCAGCTATATTTACTCCTGCTAGGTGACCTTTGGGCAAGTTTTCAGTTTTGGAAAAAAGTCTGTACACGTCAAGTATCCCTTATCCAAAATGCTTGGGACCAGAAGTGTTTCAGATTTTGAATTTTTTTTGGATTTTGGAATATTTGCATTATACATGATGGAGCATCCCAAATGTGAAAATCCTAAACCTGAAATGCTCCAGGGAGCATTTCCTTTGAATGTCATGCCAACCCTCAAAAAGTTTTGGATTTTGGAGCATTTCAGATTTTTGGATTTGGGATTCCCAACCTGTATATGGGTGATGTAATAGATACTTCACACACATTATTGCTAATTGACATAAAAATTCTCTAAAGTACTTATCTTCTCTATTTAAGTCTAGGCATGCTAAACCATAACCAGAATTATCCCCATTTTCAAAAGGCAAACAAAGAAGAAATGTAAAATAAGAAACTTGCCCAAGATCATATAGCTACTCAGTGGGGGAGCTGAAATTTGAATGGAAGTCTTATCCCAAAGACCAAGCTATTTTACATTATTCCATGTTAGCAAATAAGTTATACAGTAATGGGTCATGTAACAATGGTTCAGCTAACAGGCCACATATACAACAGTGGTCCATAAGATTATAATGGCTACACTATTATAGCCTATAATGTGTAGTAGGATATACCATCTAGGTTGTAAAAGTACACCTGATATTTGCACAACCACAAAATTGCCTAGGTACACATTTCTCAGACTGTATCCCCATTGTTAAAGCCACACATGACTGTATCAATAATTTCTTGTATTTTTGTCTTTAACTTTTACAATATTAGCTTGTTTCATTAATAGCTAGAGAAATTACTTAAGAATTTGTCTGCAGCACACTGAAGTTTTTTGTAGCTTTTTTGTTTTATTTCAGTGTGGTCATTGATTTTGGGTGTGTTTAAGGTTTCGTTTTTTTTTTTTTTTTTTTTTAATCTAAGCGCCTCACTTTTGTTACACTGATTAGCATTTACATTCCCCCTTGTATACCATATCAGGAAAAATGAAACAGGGCTAGGAAATTAGTATTTGCTCTAAAATGTAACTTATGACTAAGTTGGACTGTGAATTTATCCCAGTTTCCTGAGGGAAGTCCCTGACTTCTCTAAAAGAAGCCAAAATTGGACAAATCAGCAATGTTGTTTAGGTTCTGGCCTCTTGTGGATGGATTAGGATTGCAGCCTAAAGGGTGAAGTAAAGTTTGGGGATTTAAGCATCCAGTCCACTGAAGTGAGATGATATCATTATGAGAAGAGGTACAGTTGACAAACAAGATTTTGGAATTAAATGTATAAATGGCATGAGTCTTTATGATAGGACAGGAGTTACCAAGCAAATAATTTATATTTGCCACAGACTGCTTTAGGCTGGTTCCCCAGGCACACCAGGAGTACTTTGTGAACATTTTTGAGAAATAATGGATGTAGAAAGAGGAGTTACAGTCTTGAATAGGAAGCTCTGAATTCTTGTCCTGGCTTTTACCCCCAACCTACTAAAACCTCTCAGTGGCCCCAGTTTCTCACCTTTGAAAATAAAGAACAATTGGACTAACCTTTTTTGGTTTTTTTAAACTAATCTTTAAGGTTCATTCGGCTCTTAAAATTTTGATTAGTTCGTTCCTGGACTGGACAGCTAGTGTTTTCATCTTGTTCAGCGGCTTTGCGCATAGGATGTTTTACGTTGGTGTATGTCGACCATTCTGAATAGATGAATAATTCCATTTGCTCTTTGTACTGTCCACTTTTTTTTTTTCCTCTTTGTCTTTTTTACTGACCGGTAACGGGATCGCAACCCTCAGTGTTGCGCCCGCATGGCGCTCAGCCAGTGAGCGGGAACCGGTCTCCACATGGGATCCGAACCCTCAGCAGGAGCGCCGCCGCGCTCTCAAGTGGCGCACTGTCCAGTGCGCCACTGGGCCGGCCCGACTGTCCACTTTTTAAAAAGTCTTTTCTGCTTGTTTTTCATTGTGTCTTTCTATATTCATCTCTGATACCATCTCTTCTTCCTTTCCTGCTTTTTCACCTGTTTTCTCTTTATATATATTCTCCCTTGTGTCTGTTTATCTAGTTTACAACTGACACTTCTCTTTTGTTTCATTGTGTCATTTTACATTGAGACCTATAAAGTCTTATAATTAGTGTACATAATTTTGGCTATAGGAGGGTACTTCAAAAAGTTCATGGAAATATTTGTGTTATCTTTCAATTGTTTTTCCACAAACTTCTTGAAATGTCCCTCGCATTAGAAGTTTGGTACTACTATAATGTGACTGGTATCAATAAGGTGCACATTAAAAAACTCACTTATTTATCCTGAGCTTCCATTTACAGACTGATAAATGGACTGTTCTCAGTATAATTAGGAAGGGTGTAAAGATATCAGTAATGTTTAAATAAAGCGATCTTATTTCTTTCCTGAACAGAAGTTGTAAGAACAAGACTACGTGAAGAGGGAACAAAATACAGATCTTTTTTTCAGACAGTGTCTTTGGTTGTTCAAGAAGAAGGGTATGGGTCTCTTTACCGTGGTTTAACAACTCATCTCGTGAGACAGATTCCAAACACAGCCATTATGATGGCCACCTATGAACTGGTGGTCTACCTACTCAACGGATAGCAGCAGAGTGCTGCCGTGCTACGAAGAGGGAAGACCAAAAGATTACAGTGGACCATGGAATATTGAAGCCAGCATGGCAGACAAAAGAAAAATAGTTTGGGAACATGTGACTATGCCTAAGTGGAAGTTTGGTTGAAAGAATTAAAGTAATCACACCACATTACTTGACCTTTCAGTAATGTGAAAAAAACCTCGGCTGCCTCCAAGGAAATGCCTTTAGAAGCACTCCTTTTTCAAAATTGCCATTTTCTCTACCATGTCCTTCAGACATATCTGTGTTTTGTTTATTTATGGCAGTCAGAGTATACTGTTGTTTATGCCATGAGTACTTTTCCAGTCTTCTAAACAAAGCCATCCGTAATTATATACTGTACTGTAACTATCCAAAGATAGTATAGACAGTCATAAATTTCTGACTTCAGCTTTGGTTTAATTCCTAGAAAATTGTAAAAGAACAACAGTAATAGGGAATCCTCAGTATTATTTTCACATTTCCCTGAGAGGACCTGGCACAATATTTTAAATTAATTATTTGGCATTAGTAGTCACTGTTTTTGACAACCAATGAAATAGTATCTGAATATCTTGTATAATTTTAGCATCAAAATGTTTTGGTTTCTACTACTAACAGATGCTTGATGTTTAGCATAATGTGAATATTTAAATGTTAACATATCAAACTCACATGGTAATAGTTTGGAACAAAATAAACTAGTAAAATGATTCTTGGCCATTTCAGTGACTTGAGCATGTCCTCATATCTTCTCTAATTTTGTGATACATGAATGAATGCAATTGTCTTTTCAGTGATTTACTAGTTATGAATTTGAATTATCACCTATTTATCATATCTAGGTATTATTTAAAGTGGAAAAGACTTACCACTTCAGAATCTTTTTTACTTGCTTTCACATGGAGAATTTGAATCTTTGAATTATTTCCGGGTCTGAATAGATAACATTTATTTATTTTGTAGAGAAAATGGTAATTTTCAGCCCTTACAAACTTTTTTAAGGTGACATTAATATTTATATCTGGGATAGTATAAATATTATAGAAGAGGGGCCCTCTGCTATCTGACTCAGCAGGTAGTGATCTTAATTGACCTTATAGTTTTGTAAATGAACAAACTGCTTTTGACAAGAAATTTGTTCTGTTCTAGTTTCCTGAGTGGAAAATCATAGAAAGATTCAAGTTAATTTAGGTTAAATGTGCTAACAGGATATAGCTTTTAAATTTTGCTATTGAGTCAGTTGCACCTTTTAATACTTTAAATGTATTATATATATATGCCCGTTTGAAGGTGTTTGCTCTATTTCTGTTAAGAGACTTTACCTATGGATGTTGCTATACTGGTATATAAAACTTCTACAATTAAACTCCAATGTGGTACTCATTTCAGTTTACCTGAACTGTACATTTTGTGCAATGGCTTTAACTTAAAAATGACTCTTTGTGAATGCACTTTGTGGCCTTTTGGGGGGGATAAGATAGTAGGAGAGAATTTCATGTTAAGATTTAAAAAAAAAAAATTGGTCATGTATTAGGCAGAAACAGTGTTCATAACATTTTCCAGGCTTAAGTATGTTGTTTTGAGATCTTTAATATAAATGTTTTAAGTATTCTGTGTACCCTGTAGTGCTCCCAACATTATAGAAAATTGCAGCATGTCATTGCAAGCTTTCTCTGCTGTCACCAGTTAAACACAGTGCCCTTTTGAATCCCCACACCTTAGTTTCCTTCTGATCAACTGGATGTTTTTGAGGTGCTCTGTTGGAATTAAAAATATTCCAATCTATTTGGAGACCAAAGGCAAATTCAGTTTTCTTATCTTCGGAATTAGTGATACCTTTCATGATAAATTTCATCTTTGACACTTAATGTGAGGAACATATTTAAAAAATAGGGATTTCTAACTTAAATCTGTAGAGGTCTCAGTCTGTGGTGTTTTCCTTTTCAGGTGCCATTTATACTGCCTAATACAGTGCCATCTGCCTTGTGAAGATCCATAAACATTAGCTGTGTTGAATGTAGGGCAGACTCTCCCTGTTCTTACTGATCTCAGTACCCCACAAATATGAGAATGTTATGAAAACCAGCAGCTAAGAAACATCTTTTTAGTTGTAGAAAATTCATAACAAGTGTCCTTCAAGGATTAACATGTATTCTATTTCTGTTTGTATTTAGTAAGTAAAACTTACGAGGACCTTCAGTGCATTATATTCAGCTTTTAAAAGTGAATAGTGTGTGTTTATTTGTGCAACAACTGGAATGGAGCAGTGCAGTTTATCTTAACTGTGTTTCCCCTGAGCACAGTCTGCTGTCGTTTACTTTATGTATGACAGAGATAATACAAAAATGAAAACTATATATAAAATTGTCTCTGAAATATTTCTTTTTTAATTCAAATATTTAAAAAGAAAAACGCATATTCAGCATTGCGCTTTTTTAAAAACTATGTTTTGTTTTTATCTGTTTTCTGTCAGACAGCTTCTTTTAATTTCTTGTGTGGAAGTAGTCGTCACTCCAGATTGGTAGGTATTTTTATTATAGAATCTTGTCAGAAAATTGAATTGAACTTATTCACATTAAAGCAGTAGATGCTGAAAGAGCATGCTCATAGAGCAACAGATAGAAATCTGCCGGTGACTCATACAAACCGTTCCCTAAATTTCAAAGTCCAAATCTGAGAATTACCAACCCTGTGATTGTAGGATACCATATAGTGTTTCCAATTTTAGGAAAAAAACTATCATCAAAGTTCTGTCTTGATTCTCATTATGTAAGTTTGCAGAACCAACCTCACTAGACGGGGCCCACACTTGATTTATTTGTAACTTCAGAACCATGGTAGCATATCATTAGATTATTTCATCCAGCTTTTTATCTCCAAAAACCTAATGCCCTTTGCAGAATAGTGTGTTAGGACCAGCAGACTTTGGGCTGTGAAAAAATAATGAATGTTTACTCTTCTACTAGAGTATAAGCATTTCAGCATTTTAATATTTGTTTTAAATCACTAAAAATATTGGTTTGAATGTGAGGGATTTCAGTGCTAGAGATCAGTGTAACCTTTACTTTTCCAGAATCGCTCTTGCCTATCTTCTGCTGTTTCCGCTGCCCAGACCATAAAGCTGTGGGCCCCTTTTGGGTGGATAAAAACAGTTCTGCCTTTTTCTTCTCGAATAATGATCATGACTTTAACATTCCTAAGAATATAGATATTTCTGAATGATTTAAATTGGAAGGAATTTTAATATATAAAATACAGTGTACTATCTGCCCACTCAAATCTCTTCTCCACCATACCCTCGTATTTGCCACTATTCTATACACTGATTTTTGTTAGTCCTTTCAGAAACAGAAAATCCTAGTTTCACTCAGTTTCTGTGTTAATAAATTTTTTGAATGTGTACCCCTGTGTGTGTGAACGATTACGAACTGTCAGTCATAGGTTAATACCTTTGACCATTTGTGGTTTGCTATTCTTGCATTTATGTACATGGCTGTAAATTGTGTGCATTTACTCTGTATTTATGTTAACTAGCTGACTTGAATTGCTGAAATTTAAAAAATTAAAATACGCTTATGAAAATGTGGGGTTTTTCTGTAATGTATCTTATTTTGGCATGGTGAGGATATAGTCACTTTCTTAGGGTTATCCTATGTGTAGAACAAAAGTGCATTACTATTTTCAAGTAAAATGTTAAGCTCATTTATTGGTTCAATTAGCAAACCTTTTTTGAGTACCTCCTATCTGCTAGACCTGGTGATATCTCCAGGAATCAAAAGGTCAAATAATCTAACTCCTTCATAGTTTAATAAGAAATATCTGTCCCTGCATATTTTCCACAGGTTTATTGATCTTTTAAGTTTCTCATGTATCAAAGTAAATCCATTTTGCAGAGAACTTTTGAGAAATTGTAGCCAAATTGATTAAACTATTCGACTGATAAAACCCTAAATTGTAGTTTTTAACATCAGCTTTTTTGTTTTAATTTTGGTTTTTGGTGAAGTTAAGAAATAACAGAGCTGAGAACCATTAGAATAACCAAGTAAATCCACGTTAGATTGAAGTAGAAGTCAGACGTAAAGTGCTACGTATTACCTACCCACTTTACATTTTGTCTTTTTTTTGTTTTTCTGAATTATAGCTAATATCAACATTACTCAGTCTTGTAAGTAAAGAAACCAAGACAACTAAATGTTTCATATTTCAGAGTTAACAAAGGTTTGTTCTACTAAACGTTGTCTTTGCACTGAAGACACTGACAAAATGGTTGAGTTTGGTGTGATTTAGCTCAAGTGTCCCAAGTTTGAATTGTGTGTGTTTTCATTATTGAATATCAGGGGCTATGACAGAGGGATGAATTTGTGAGTTTGATTTCTTAAGGTTCAACTGTGAGCTCTATACAACTGATAAAAGTCAAGCAAGCAAAATGTAATTAAATGATTTCCTTTTTTTCTTTTTGTACTGTACATATCAGCTGGCTGCCTTAATATATATTGAGTCAATTCAAAATTTAAACTAATGGAGTGTTGTGTTTATACAATGGTTATGTTTCTATAATGTGCATGGAAAACAGTCTGTAGACCATATGAATAGACAAGTGACATAGAGTCACAGTTGGGCTTTTTGACTTAGGTGCTCTGAATCTTAGTCCCATGTTTATTTATTACACTTGATTATTCATTGGCCCTTGATGACACTGGGACAATGTCTTAAAATATCATTTAAAGGAAAGGTCTGCAGGAATTGGCTCAGAATGAAACATTAGGGAGTAATGAGAAATAGAGCTGAATATTTAAATTGGAACAGTATGAACTGTCTTAGAAGCTACCCTATATAGATTTGATACATCTTGAGGCCACTGGGGAAACACTGGATTCCCCACCGCGCCCCTCCAAAGAATTATTAGTGACACTGTAGAAAGATTTACCAAATAGTAGGTTCAGTTTGTCTTATGTGAGCTGCTCTTAACCATCTTGGAGCCTCAGCAATACCCAAAGGTGATCTATGTTCTCTGGAAGTAGTGTTATGGTGGTTAATCCTTTCGGAAAGATGTGGGAAGGCTGCATGGAGAAAATAGCATCTTAATTAGGCTTTGAAACAGATAGAAATTTTGCATCTGGTATGGGGTAAGCATTCCTTGTTGAAGCTAAGATCAAAACATTTTCCATATCCGAAGT